TTCCAGCCATTTTTATCACATGGTTTTTGTTTCAGTGTGGTAATATGCCCTGTAATTCTCTGCTATTATTACTAGCATCAACATTTAATATATTTATGTTTGCCACCATACTACTACTACAACATGATATGTACTTTATGCTTACTATTTCATAAACACTCCGCGAAGCTCTTTTTAAGTCAATTACAAGGTTCTGTTTTCTCATACCCTTTCTAGAAGAAAAAAAACACATACACAATCGAGAAGTGCAACAATGAAAAGCAAGTAATAAACGACCGACAAATATTGCTGGAAAATACATGGTAAAATCCGTAAGAAAAAGTATATATGGACGGACATGAAGGCACACACACGCCCGATTGATGTCAGGTGTTTAGAAAAGAATAAGCACATCGCAACCGGCTTTCACATCGCCTTTGCTCATTTTCATATGTTTATGAATATATATGTATATATTCCGTTGTAGGCATGTGAGTATCCCTTTATCATATGTCTATTAATCAGCTGGGCCGAGTGTTGACAATAAAGTCTACTTAATACGTTATTCCGAGTGAACTTTTGCGTGAATCAGACATCTCTCGTGTAAATATTATATTGGACGTAAGGCAAGTAACGTTGAATTCTTCTGCAATAACCATTGTTACAATAGAATACTACATAAAAAACATTTAAAAACAGATCTGATCAATAAAATGTATTTGTTTTCGTTATTTTTTACATAATTACTATGTTTAAAATGTTTTTCTTTTCAATAAACTCGTTTTCATATTATAAGTATATGACGCATTCAACGGATAGCCTTCGTTTGCCACCTAGTTGACCAGACTTAAACATGTGTGTAAAGTTTTCATATTATAAGTATATGACGCATTCAACGGATAGCCTTCGTTTGCCACCTAGTTGACCAGACTTAAACATGTGCGTAAAGTTTTCATATTATAAGTATATGACGCATTCAACGGATAGCCTTCGTTTGCCACCTAGTTGACCACCTAGTTGACCAGACTTAAACATGTGTGTAAAGTTTTCTAGAGGTCAATAAACACATATTGAAATGCCAAGATATAATATTCTAGCATAATACATATTTCGTAAAAAGAGGATTTTTTTATCGGGTACAAGTACATCTACTTGACCGCTTTCACAGGTTTACTATTTAGTATTATAAGACCCGAGAATCCAAATATCAGTGTTATTTATTATACAACAGTGTAGCGCATCAGTAAAAAAAATAGTACTGGTCTTACTATATGAATGTTAAACCTCTCATTGACTATCGTCTATCACTGGATTTTTTGACTGTCGGAATCTAATGGAAATTCTTAAAACTTTTGAAACTATTGACACATACCTAACACACGCAAAAAATGACGAAGTGTAATAGTGTGAAAGATACAATGCACTGGCACATACCTAACGAAAATAAAAAACACCAAGACACGGACCAAATAAATACATGTTATAAGCAAATTCATACAGTTCTAATTACATACATGATTACGCCAAGTCTCTTTAAATATCTACAGTATTCGATAGATTGCTCCATCCATGTTGATAGGTAAACAGTCGAGTTCATCTCACAGCTTGATTTTTGAAACGTTATCCCATTTTTGCACGAAATTCTTATCGGGTAAGGTTTTACATTTTTAACAATTTCTGAAGAATTAAGGTACCAACATACATTGTCTAAGCATGCTACCATAACAACTTATATATTGTCTGAAAGCATAAATATAAGCAAATACAGTAGTGCATGATAAACGAAACCAGTGTTTGTCAGTCTGACGGCCAGTATCCTATTATGTTTTATTTTACTATTCCGAATATTGAATACACCATTTTATAACTCTATAATTTGCATTCGTGTGAATTACACGTGAATTGCACAAAATGTTGACTTTTAGAGAATGTCTGAATCACAGTACAATTTTTAACATATTTTACCCCTGTTGCTCGTGTTTTCTCCTGTGTATCTGTTTTAGATTTGGCTCAAGAGGGCGCCCTCTCTAAAAAATCCAGCTGATTTGTTATGACCTACATCCCCGCCCACAAATGGTAACGTCCAAAATATTTTGACTTCAAAAATGGCGGTGCCAGTAATCGAATGGAACGCCTTGTTGGTTATTTCGTCTCCTAATTCTGGGCGTTAGAAGGTAAGTACCAATAGATTATACAAATATTCACACTTATATATAATCGATCATTTGTACAGGCGACCCTGAATCGAAATGCACTTTCTATGAACGATGGAAACGTGCATTCTTTGAGACCACTCGCGTCGGACGCGCGACGTAATTTCCAATTCCTTTAGATGAATACCCAACGATGACGCCTCTCGTTTACCCGTTACCATAGCTGCGGAGCCTTGATCTTGTCAATTGCGCATGGCCTTGCATTGCTTAATCATTGCCTCAACTTGTCACTATACGTATTCATATGTTATTATTTATGATTATGCGTGGTTTGTTTATGGATTGTTATCGTCGGGTGTTTAACGCAAACGTAACTTGATTAAGTTTGTTTATGTACGTGTGTTGAAAATAATATTTATACAATGGTGTCGTGAATTCGTACCGGTACTTGCATGGTCATCGTGATCACAGTTTTGTTGATGTTTTACGCGTAACTCTATTGTGTCAGTTGGATAAGTAACGTTTTTTGTTAGTAGTACCGTGTGAATCACTTTATTTTTAACACAATTTAAAAATGACGACCCCTACCCCGACCCAGATGAAAAGCCAGATCTCGGGTCCAATTTTCCTATAAATTACGTGTATGAAAATAGAGTATCTAGAAATCATGATTAGTTCTAGCTTGTTTTCTGTGAATCGTTATGTTTGCGGATAGCGAAACACGCTCTATAAGGTCTATGGTTATTCTTTGACACTACCACTTTAAATGGCTAGCTTTCAAGTTCAAGTTGAGTAGCAGTAGCCCCAGAACATGGCCATGCTCAGAACAAAGGTTGAAGCTGGTCCAAATGAGAAATAGTGAAAAATATAATATCCCAGTAATGATAATGGAGGGTAGACCCAAACATTTTTCGTGATAGTACTGTAACCCAGAGTGCTAACCTTGAGTTAATTGGTCTCCTTTACTCATATTGCCATCAGCTGACCAATGTCTGCAAAGACAGGTTTATGTACTGTAAAAGGATTAATTATTCACTGGATTTCAATTTTGCTTATTTTGCTGTCTGGAAAATGCGCTAAATTAAAACCCAGTGAATATGTAAAATTTAGCATAGAACACCATGAGCGGATTTAGAGGGGGCCGAGGGGGCTGCGGCCCCCCTATTTTTAACAACCAACAGGGCTTTGCGCAATCGGCGCTCACGAACCTGGCCTTTGGCTAACTTATCGCCCCCCTATTCCAGAATCCTAGATCGACCCCTGAACACATTATCTAAATGACGAATCCGTGAATTTAAAACCCACTGAATATGCCTGAAGTGGTAAATCAGCGAAATTTAAACCCAGTGAAAATTAGTAATTTTACAGTATATAATGTTCCCATACATACAAACTATTTTAGATGTAAATTCAAATTCAAACTCAAATAAGAAGGTATGATTTTATTTTGATTTTTCTAAAATTCAAAAATTTTGGAAAAAAAATTAAAAATTTCCTATAAACCACATCCATAGGTAACCTGAAACTAATGGGCCAGTTTTGGTTTTTATTATTTTAGCTTAGCATGTTAAATCAGTTAGATTAAAACTTGCATGAAAATAATAATTAATTGTTCTATATTCTAATTTTTATTGTTAATTGTTAATATTGTTGATCTGATTATCAGGCTGTATAGCATGCTTTACGCTGTGTCTACACCTAGCTTTGTAATGGCTTTCTGCATTACTACAAAACTCTGGTATTTGGAGTATGTATATATTTGTACTTTTCTAATAGAATCAGCAAGCACCCATAAACCAAAATTGTCTTTAATTAGTTTGAACAAAGACTTCAGAGCAAATATGGTGCACTATGTCTATATGTTTTGTGGGAGATGCAATTATTATAAATGAGATATTAGCATCTGTTTATTTTTTATTAACTGCTGTTTGAACCTGTAGTTTTACAGATAGCTGTGTATGTCTGTAATTACATTTCATTAACGAAATGAACATGATTAATGAATCACAGTGTGTCTGGAGTTAATTTGTCACGTGTCAATTAACATGGCACTGAGGGGATTTCCTCAATTCACAGAATCTAACTCTGACATGCGGCTTGCAATTTTACCAGGACATGTGTATGTCTCTTTCATCTTGTTCTATCTATCATTGTCCTAACAGTCTTAATGAAAACATCATCAGATTTTCCTGCCTAAATTTTTCTGCACTTTTTGTTTTTTTCTTCAGTATTTTCGGAAGTGAACCCTAATTCTGTGGAGCCAACAGACAAAATTTGCGTCAATTTTCAGTTTTTACTCCAAAAAATTGGCTATTTTTGTCCCAATATTCTGAAGGAAAGTGCAGACTATAAATGGGACTATTTTGTGAATTTGTGATGAAAGGAGGGAACTGGTGGTGAAAAGGTCAATTGTGCATTTACTATGTGGTTACAACTTATGAGAAGTTATTTGTGAGTTATAACAATATAGTTGTTGACTTATTAAATCATCTGTGTTTATTAATTAATTACTACTAGACACTAGTGGCTTTCCTTGTCCACAAAGTCTCTTTAACTGCCTATTTTTCTAAATACTGTGTATGAACATTACTGTTCACCTGTAAGACCAAAACAGGTACTTTTGCAGCTGGTTTGGTGAAAATAAAACTTACATGCATGATATCTTGTAGTTTGGTAAAATGGTGTGCTTCAATAAAAATCAAATGTCATTCATTGTATTGAGAACAAATCAATATAAATAATGGTAACCATGGATATGGAATCTATTAAATCAATCTTTTTGATATTGAGGTGAATTTAGCAAGCAGTACTATACTTGATGTATATCTGTACTACTGTAAAATACTTTATTTTAGCTGGAATTAATTTTGCTGAAAAGATATTTTGGATATTTTGTATGGAATTTATTTTCACTGATTTTTGACAAGTTAAATGTAAAATATAGGAAAAAAAAGTATATTTGCTGGGTTTTATTTTCACTGAATCATTCCTTCAGTGAAAATAGGGAAAAATTAATTCCAAGCAAAAATAAAGTATTTTACAGTATTCTCAAAATAGTATTTTTTCATAATATTTTGTTCATTAACCACACAACAGAATATTGTTTACTGTGATGCCAATAAATGGTTACAAGTAAATGTTAATTTGAAGTGAGTCGATTCAAGATTTGTAGAAGGCTCATCTTTTTGGCACAGGTTCAAAATTGTAAAATCGTTAACACGTACATTTCAGATTGCATCTCTGGTAGTTTACCCAATTATAATATGCAAATGAGAGATTGTATATTTGTAGCTAGGTTCCCTTTCAACCAAGAAATAATGTTGTTTTTTTGTATTGCGCATGTAGGAGTTCAATGATGCGTTTTCTATACTGTTGCCAAGTTCAATCTTTTGTTGTTGCTTACTTGCCAACTGTGACAGTGATCTGGGACAGGTTTCGAGGCTTATCCATTGACTGTGCATAGTTTTCATATTTCTACCATACATGTATATATACACTGATACAAATGTACATGTATGAAGGAATAAGGTATGAATTTGTAATCTAACGTAATGATGGGTCACTGCTCAATGCGATACTACTGCGGCATTACTGCTGTTTGACACTCTTTTATCACTGGACATCAATCTGTTTTTATATTATATGTTGACAAACAAGCTGAAATCTAAGTATATTTATTTACACGATTTTAGGTCTTTTGTATACATGATTTTCTGATTTAGGGTTTGTATTGCAGTCACTGTAGGGAGGGGGTGTCTAAAGGGTTGGGTGGGGAGGTGGTGGTTTGCTTTATTCTCTGTATGTGGTCTCTGTGAGGGTCAGTACATGTAACTGCAGTCATTATTTTATTTTTTGACTTCTTCTTGAAAACTACAAATCTGATTGCTTTGATACTTGGGCAGACCTCTCTTTGATTTGTTTATTTCGTGATATCTTTAATTCTGTAATTTTGATGAATACTTTTGTTATTTTTGGTAAAAAGTGATATTTTCGACTTCTTGTTAAAAAACAGCAAGTTTGATTGCTTTTATACTATACATATAGGTACCCCCAGGTAGACCTCTCTCAGATTTGTTCATTTTCCAGTGATATCTTCAGTTCTTTAATTGAAATGTGCATTGCTAACAGCGGAGCTATTTCAGACGAGAGACTGCTTGTGTCAATATAGTTTTTAGACAGACACTATTTATTTGAAGGTCAGTCACTGTAGGGGATGGGTCGCAGGTGTGGACACTATATGAAGTAATGTAGTGACTCTACCTGTACATGGATTAGTTAGTTTTCTACCACTGCAAGCTTTCCTATTTTAACATTTGATAATCTGTGTTAATGACAACTGACTGTGACAAAATCAGTGAAATTCCTCATATATAACATTTTTCCATCTTAAAGTTGTTTACACTAAATTTACATTATCCCAAAATGATGGCATCTTTAGTTTTGGCATGAATAATGAGTACCTAAAATGCAATGCACAACAGCATAACAATTGCAATGCCGATATGGGGGTCCAAGTGCAATGCACCATGGGATATAAAAATTGCAACGCGTTTTTGAGACATGTATCTGACAATTGGGCTCTTGCTTGAATCCATAGTAGCATTATGGGTCAACCAAAGAAGTCTTTCGTGATTGCCATATCTCACTAGATAACAAAAAGTGAAAATAACAATAGGTTTTCAATACTTGTCTAGAAGTCATATGTTGAACTGCTTTAGTAATGTTAAGGTTGCACATAACAATACCAATTGTTCGTGGTTTGTTCCCTGTGGTTTCATGCTTAACAACATATCGAGTCTCAAGGTAGAAATTTATTTGTTTGCAGATCATCGCACTATACATGCAGTGTGTGACTTATATGCACGATTGAATTCATTGATTCATTGATTGATTTTAAATAAGTTACGTAACATTTGTTTATGCGAATCCAGCTTCATTAACTACATACCCTCACATTATGCATGATGAAATATACTTCCCAAACTTTGAACTTTGGAGTGCCAAAATTTAATTTCTGTGTTCTCTCACACATAAACCTGCCCACAACTTATTTAATGGTTTTTCATAAATTTTAATCAAGACCTGTATTCAATAGGAAATTATATCCATATGGTCCAAAATTTGCTAAGAAATTTGAGAAAAATGGAAATAAATGGGCAAATTGTGGCACATAGTTTGTTATAAGTTATAATTTGATGTGTGACATCAAAACAAGATTTAAAGCACAGTCAGTGCAGTTTAGACTAGTTGGCACAGTGCCAGACGAATTGTTAGCGATGATTGAAACTCCATACATTGTTTGAACTAGACTGACAGGTGTAAAGGGATGTACCCTCCCTGGATCAGGTACTTGGATAGGTAGGCAACATTTTTTTTTTTTGCACGTTGTCAACTTTGTAGTAATAATTAATGGAATTGCTATTAATAAAATTCTTTAGTACATGCAGTAAATCACGTACTACCGGTATCTCTGTATCTAGCACATTCTAGTGTGGTGAGGTATTTGATACAATATATTGACCCGTATATGTGTATATACAAAGACTAAATAAGAGAGCAAAGTAAAGGAGTGGAATGTTTTAAAATACTGACCTAGAAATAACATACATAAGTTGTAATTATTTAATTAAATAAACTTGATTATAGGGAACTAAATAGAAGTCAAAGAGAAAGAAAATGGCCTTGTAATCAAAGTTGTTGGATTTAGATAAATTTATCTGATTAATGTATTTGTGATAGTGTGTTAGCATGGCAACGACAATTCTTAATTTCTCAGTTAACATATCTTCATTATACAAATTAGGAATACGTTGTAAGAATAATATTATGTGCGTATCTTGTCTACGTACTACTAATATTGGAGTTATGACCTTTGACATCGATAGTTTCTCTATTGTTCTTTTGTTTCTGTTTGAGGTGAACATAGCTCGGTATTGCAATAAAATTGTCCACAGTTAAACCGGTATTCCC